TGAACCCACCCACGGCGGTGCCGTAGCGGGATTTGCGCTCTGACTCCCGTCGGTGTTGATGTGGCGCTGTGGCGACGCTGAGCCCCCCGTCGGCTCGAGGAGCACCGAGGGGGGTCTTGCATTCTGACGCCCGACGGTGTCGAAGGTGTGGCGTGCGTTCTGACTGCCAGTGCCCACCATCGGTTCGAGGAGCGCCGAGGTGGGACTTGCGATCTGACGCCCGTCGGTGTCGATGTTGAGGCGTGCGTTCTGACTGCCAGTGCCCACCGTCGGTTCGAGGAGCGCCGGGGTGGGTCTTGCGATCTGACGCCGGGTGGGGTCGAAGATGCTTTCGCCAGAGTTTGCAAAACTTACGCGCGACGATGAACCCACGGACGGCTCGAGGCGCACCGTCGTGGGATTTGAAGCGTTCTGACTCACTGGCGACGTGTAGCTCGGCTCCAGGTCCTGGCCGAACTCGTCGCACATCCTGATTGCCTCGGCCTCGTCCTCGGGGTCCAGGTCGGCGAACACGTCGACCTCATCGTCGTCCATTTGGTGCCTGCACTCCTCGTGCACGTGGGCCTCTGCGCCGTTTCTGCCTGGTCCCCCGTGCCCGCCCAGAGACTCTAGGCCGACGGAGCAGGGGGGACGAGGTGGAGACGGGGGCCTGGGCGCCGCGCCCTGGCCGACCTCGTCGTGCACGGTGGTCGGGAAGCTGGCCCAGCCTGCGACTGGGGAGAGTGCCTCCCAGCGCTCGTCGTCCAGCTCCTCCACGTGCTTGCCGCCGATCGCCATGGTCTGGGATCCAGCAGCGGTGGCCTCGGCCTCCTCTTTGGCCTTGGCCTGCAGTCGTCTCTTAGTTCTCTTGCTCTGCGGGTTGGGCGCCTTGCCCTTCCGCGGCGGGTGCGGGAACGCCTTCGGCAGGTTGAGCGTCCTACACTGCGTCGCGAGTCCCTGTCCTCGAATTGTGAACTTCAGTCCGATGTGTGGCTTCCACGGTACGTCGTAGACGCCTTCGACTCCTGCGATCAGCTTGCTGCCTGCGTCGTTCGTCATCGCGAAGTCGATGTGGGAGGGCTCCTGCTCCGCGAGGAAGCAGGTGTGCTGGTCCTCAGGCAATGAGATGATGGCGCTCGCGCCCATCACCTTTGGCCAGCCCGTCGCCCAGAACGTCTTCGGGTCTGTGTTGAAGTCGCCGCACACCACCCACGCCCCTTGCAGCGTCTTGAGGAACGCGGCGAGCGCGGTGAGCTTGCGGCTGTTGATGCCGTCGGTCAGCGACCTGTTGCAGTCCAGGTACAGGCTGACGACGGTGAGCGTAGTGCCCTTCAGGTGCCAGGTGACTGGTGTCCAGTCGCACATGTCGAAGCCTTCTGCTCGGTCGGCGCCTCGTCGAATGTCAGCTGTGGCATTCGAGACCTGCCGAGCTCTGGCCAAGTGTCTGAAGCTGGTGACGCGCAAGTGCCCCTTGGAGATGACAGCCGTGCCCCCACAGCAGCCTTTCTCCGAGCGCGTACTAGCTCTCGCCGCGGTGCAAGTAGCCCTGAACCCCATTTTGCAAAGGTCCTGCTCCGCGTCGTCTAACTGTGAGTGCGGTACGTGCATCTCTTGCAGCGCCAGCATGTCGAAGCCGTTGCCTCCGATGCCCTGCTGCAGCAACCACAGCCGTGCTGTGGGTCCCCAGGTCGAGATGTTGGCGCAGAAGAGGGTGCGCTCATGGGCGGCGGCGTCGCCAACGAGATGCCGCCGTCGCCCTCGCGCGCGCCCCTAGTGCGTCGTGGGGCTGGTGGCCCCCGTCGCACTCTGCGCCGCCGCCGCACGCCTGCTGGCCAGGAAAGCCTCCTCGGCGGCGCCCTGGGCGGGGCTTGCGGCATCTGGTGCCGCCGCCGCAGCCGCTGGGGGCGCTGCCTCGGGGGGCCTCGGGCCTGGCGCTGCAGGTTCTCCAGTGGCCAGCTTCCTCTTCTTGGCCTCCTGCTTGATCACCTGCCGCTTCTCGATCGCGGCTGCTTTGGCTTTCGCCAGGTGCTCGCGCAGGTGGCCCTGGAACTGCTTAGCGTTGTCTTGCATCTGCTTGACGACCTGGGCCTTAGCCTCCTCGACTTGCTTCTTAGCTTCCTCATCTAAGTCGTCGTCGTCCAGCGCGAACTCCTTACTGATGTCCGCTGCCAGCTGTCCTTCGGTCAGCTCGTCAAGCTGTCCCGACACCAGCTGCTCGATGATGCCCGCCGTGGGAGCCTGCTTTCCCTCCTGGTGGATCGCATCGCACTCCGCTTCGGCCTGCAAAACTGCGCTGGCCTTCTCCTCCAGCAGCTCGCGCGCCTTGCGCGCCTCCTCCTCTGCTTTCTGCTTCGCCGCGAACGCCTGCGAGTACTGCCGCTGCGCCGTCTGCAGTGCTCGCGCTGCGGCTGCCATCCTCTCAGCTCTCGGCTTCTGCGGGGCCGTCGGCTTGGCCGACTGCAGGGCCGATGTCGCCACCTCGATCTGCTTGGTGATCGTCTCGCTGCCCTCGATCTGCAACTGGCCGAGGGAGGCGGTGATGAGCTGCAGCGCCTGCGCCAGCTGCTCGGGCCCTTTGCCCTTGCCGCTGGCCTTGCCGCCTCCAGCGCTGCCGCTGCTGCCGCCACCTCCTCTGGTCGCCGCCTCCGCCGTGGGGCCCTTGGGGCTCTTCGGCTTGGGCAACATCTTGTTGCAGGTCCCGCAGCGGTAGTCCATGCCCTCCAACTTTGAGTTCCACCACCACTGCCCGCAGGACTTGCAAACGGTGTACTCGGCTGAGCGTCCCATTCTGCTGCCCGACGGGGGCGTGCTGCCGTGGTGCTGGCTCAACAGCTGGGTCTGCAACCTCGCCTTGAGGTCGCGGCGCGCCTGAGCACGCTCGCGGCGCGCGCGCCTGTGCCAGGCGGGCGAGCGCTCGCGCGTCGCCGTCCTGGCGGCGCCGCCGCCGCCTCCTCCTCCTCGCTGGACGCGCCGCCTGGCGCTGGGGGCCCCGATGGCGCGGGCCCGCGTGCGCCCGCCGCGGGGCAAAACGGCACGCGCGGGGCCTCGCTGCGGAGCCGCCTGGAGGAGGAGGAGGAGGAGGAGGAGGAGGAGGGGGAGGGAGAGGGGGAGGAAGGAGGAAGGGAGGAGGGAGAAAGGAGAGAGGGAGGAGGAGCAAGGGGAGGGCAAGGGAGGGGGTCTGGAGCCGGACCTCCGCTTCGTGCGACTGCTTGCAGCAATGCGTCCTGTCGGGGAGACTCCACCTGCTCGAAACGGGCGCCAAACACGGCAAAGAGCCACTCCATTGGGGGGGGGAGGGGGGTGCGAGGGCCCGCGCCGATCGGAAAAACAATGAGCACAGTGGAGGCCAGTCCACACGAGACCTTCCACAAGAAACCCAACCTTGAGACCCAGGACGTCATTCGACTTTTGCTGGGGGAACGTCACGCTCTCCACAGCAAGACCACCGAAGCCCGAGAAACCCAGGGCACCCCGGAGGCAAGCAAGGTGTTTCTTGGCATGGGTTATGTTGCTCCCATCGTACTTGAGGGCCACATCCCAGAAATTTCGAGCACCCAGAAGAGCATCGAAACGGTGTCAGGCGAGTATCGCACGCCAGGGTCCGACGGGTGAAAACCCTCAAGCTTCCGCACTTGCTTGTCGCTCGAAGCTCTTGCTGATGAACATCATGAAGCATGGGTCTCCACTGTAAGGACACGATCACGTGGCTCGAAAGATCGAGGGCGGGCTTCGTTCAAGACGGATGAAGAGGGCCAGGGAACGTATCGACAGAAGAAGGGGTGGCCATGAAGTCTGGGAAATCTCATGGCCCTGGCCATCATGTCCACCTCCTACTCCTCACCACCCCCTTGGACGCCCCCGCCACCCTGCTTCTCTCCCGTACAATTGCTGGAGAAGAAGTTGGGCTCACGCCGGCAAGACCTTGCCTGAGGTGCCGACGTCCCCACTGCCCCGCAGCCCGCCTGCGGGGACGCGATAGGAGGTCTCGGAGCGGTGCGGTGACAGACCGTGTAGGGAAACGAACCATGACACAAACATAAAAACTACAACCCGCTGGATGAAAAAGTGGAGACCGTGGGGATCGAGAAAGACGCGGTTGGCCTGCCGTTAGGCCACGGGGCCCCGGGACAATGTTGGACTCGGGGCCCATTCGGGAATTTACGATGCATCTCTCACCACTTGTAATCTTTTAACAGCCAAATGGGGTCAGCGTCTGAAAATGCGATTCCACCTGAGACTTCCGCAAAAAACTTTCAGATCGCCTTCCAGGGCGATCTGAAAATTTGCCGCGGCATCTGAAAGTGGCGATTTCGCGTTTCCTCAGGAAAAAATCCGATCCATCTTCATGCCGCTTGAGAGCAGCGACATCGCCTGAGAATTCTCGCAAGGTATTTTCTGACCGCTTTCACACCGCCAGAGAGTGGCGCCTTCGTTTGGGCTGTCCTAACAACCGCGCGTCTCGTCCACCCCCCCGTCGCCGTTCCTCCGTTCCGGTCATGACTCTGTCTGGGAGCTACTTGGGATCGATCGAAGGTCGATGCTTGAGTTTTCTTTCGATTGGCGAAGACCCAGGGGGTGTTCCCTGGCATAGTGCCGATCACCACTTTTTAATCCAGGGGGTGGTAGGAGGTCCGAACGGATTTCTCGGACCCGCGCCGGACCCCCCTGGCGGCGCCTCCGGCGCCGCCCCTGGCGCGCTCCGCGCGCCAGGGAGGGGGCCCCAGCGCCGATCCGAGAAATCCGCGCGGACCTCCGAGCTTTTATGTTTACGTCATTCTTCGTTCCCCCGGTGCGGTGGCCTTGGAATCCCCAGCCACCTCGCCGCGCGGCCCGTCACCGCACCTTCTCGAGAGCTCGCAGGCCCCGGCCCCGCGAGACAGCCTCGGAGAGCGGCCCCGGAGGCCCAGGAGCCGTGCGGGCCGCGCGGCGCGGTCACCGCACCCTCTTCGGGGACCCCCCGGGCCTGCGGGGCCGCGAGCGGCGTCGGCCGGGCGCGGCCGCGGGTAGGCCGAGGGCCGCACTCGAAGGAGAGCTGGTCCACCGGGATCGTCTTGCTCCTGGCGCGCGGGGCTGGCCATCCCTCGGAGGTCCATTCCCTGTGTTTTTTTTTTCGGTGTCGTGCGTGGCTTGTTCGCCAGATGATCAAGGATGCTCCTCGATGGCCCTCGCCGAGAAAAAAATGCACACGTGCGAGCGATGCCAAGGAGGGGAGAGCACTCTTCGACTTCCATGGACGCGCGGCAGCGGGACTCGGATCGGCTGCACGTAAGAGTGACCCTGGGTAAGAGTGACCTTTGGTGCGCGGCTCTTGGGGGACCGCGGGGGGACCAAACCTGGGCGCGCCAGCCGCTGCCCCTGCTGCGTTTTCAGCCATCTGGGGACCCATCTGTGCCCGCACCAAAGGTCACTCCGGCGAAAGGTCACTCTTACGTCTAGTCGATCTGACCCCCGGGGCGCCCCGTGTCGCGCCCCGCTCCGCGCGGGCGCGCGCGCGCTCGCTCTCGCGCCCTCGCGCGGCCACCGGGGGAATCGGGGGGGACGGGGGGAAGGGTCAGGAGCAGGGGAGGAGGAGGAGGAGGAGGAGGAGGAGGAGGAGGAGGAGGAGGAGGAGGAGGAGGAGGAGGAGGAGGAGGAGGAGGAGGAGGAGGAGGAGGAGGGAGGAGGGAGAGGAGGAGGAGGAGGAGGCTCTCGCGCTCTCGTGCTACCACAAGGGACGCTGAATCGGGAACGAGGGAGCCGATCTGGCCACGTCGACCCTCGGCAGCGAACCCTGCCAGCCCGTTGGGGCGCGAGTGGTCTAGAGGGTTTCCTCGTCCATCGTCCCTCGTCCCCGTCGGGGAAGGGCTTCGTCATTGTTCCCTATGAACAAATACCTATACGACCACCCTACGGGTGATAAGGAGGTTGGGGGGGGTGGAGGGGCCGAGCAATGGGCAACAGTGGTGATTGTTCTCCTGACGATGCCAGTGGAGATTTTTTTGTCGGAGGCCTGCTGAAGCCCCTCTTGTCGCCACTGACTAAATCGCTTCAAAATATTGCTCAACGGCTGCCCTTCGCCATCATCAACATCATCTCATCATCATCATCATCATCATCATCATCATCATCATCATCATCATCATCATCATCATCATCATCATCATCATCATCATCATCATCATCATCATCATCATCATCATCATCATCATCATCATCATCATCATCATCATCATCATCATCATCATCATCTTTATCATCATCATCATCATCATCATCATCATCATCATCATCATCATCATCATCATCATCATCATCATCATCATCATCATCATCATCATCATCATAATCATCATCAACATCATCATCGGGACACCGACGGGACACCGACGGGACACCGGCGGGACACCGGCGGGACACCGCGCGCCACCGGCCGCCCGGCGGAGAATCATTTGGTCCGGCCGCGCCTCAGCCACAGGAGACTTTCCTCTCGCCCGCCCACGCGGCTTCGCCTCGCCCGCACGGCACGCACGAACACGAAACCGAAATCGATTTCCCGGTAGGGGGGCTCTCCGTTCCACTTCGATCTCACCCCCCAACCTCCGACACCCTGCCCCAATGCGACCGCCAGCCAACCATGACCAATGAGGACACCCCCACACCATCAAAAAAAAATGCGGATTCCACTTCGGGTCAAAATCGTGGGTAACGTTAGGGGGGCGGCGAGCACTTGGTATTGTTTATTTGACAGGGACGGAAGGGGGTGCCCGCATACTGCCTGCTGCGCGAAGGGCCAGCATCCCTATCGAAAGAACAATACAAAATATGCACTCCGAGGCAACATCTGGCTCATGCGCGGGGACCCCGCGATCACTGTGCATTGGTTTTTCACTGGGACGGCGGGGGTGCTGGCGTATCGCCTGCTGTGTGCAGGCCCTTGGACACTATAATTGCGCACATGGGATCTGTGTTGGTTCCCATTAGCTCTCCATCAAAAGACGGCCGCTGAACATGCTAAGGCCTCGGTGCCATTTATGTGTCGGGAGGGCGAGTGGGACTGAGCGAGCCAGCTTGCGGGCGGGGAGGGTGTCTTTGATCACCGTTCCCTATTAATCGGAGGTTAGGGGGTGAGATCGCAGCGGAACGGAGACCCCCAACCAGGAAATCGTTTCGTATCGTTCGTGTCGTGCGTGCGGGCGAGGCGAAGCTGCGTGGGCACGCGAGAGGAATGAACCCGCCGTTGCTAGGGCGAAGTCGAGACTCTCCCCCGCCCGCCCGTCAGGCGGTGGCTCGCGGTGTCCCGCGGTGTCCCGTGGTGTCCCGTGGTGTCCCGTGGTGTCCCGCCGTTGCTAGGGCGAAGTCAAGGCAAATGATTATCCCCCGTCCGTCCGTCCAGCGGTGGCTCGCGGTGTCCCGCGGTGTCCCGTGGTGTCCCGCCGTTGCTAGGGCGAAGTCAAGACAAATGATTCTCCCACGCCCGCCCGTCCGTCCGTCCGTCCGGCGATAGCTCGCGGTGTCCCACGGTGTTCCGTGGTGTCCCGTGGTGCCCCGTGGTGTCCCGTTGGGTGAGATCGATAGTGAGATTGGCAGGAGTCCCGTGGTGTCCAGTGGTGTCCCCTGGTGTCCCGTGGTGTCCCGTTGAGAGTCAGATCGATAGTGAGATCGATAGTGAGATCGACAGGTGTCCCGTGGTGTCCCGTTGAGAGTGAGATCGATAGTCATATCGATCGTGAGATCGATAGTGAGATCGATAGTGAGATCGACAGGTGTCCTGGGGTGTCCCATTGAGTGAGATTGATCGTGAGATCGATCGTGAGATCGATAGTAAGATCGATAGGAGATCGACAGTGAGATCGATAGTGCGGTCGATAGTGAGATCGATAGTGAGATTTATTGAGTCAGACGTTTGTTCCCCCCACCCCACACAACCTCCTTATCAACCGAAGGGTGGTCGTATAGGTATGCACCCCCTCCCCCGCATCCCTCTTCGCTCCCCTTCTCCACCCTCCAGAAGAACCACGGGTGCAAGAGTTTACCCCCATCCCCCCCCAACCAGGGGACCCTTTGGGTGGACGGCGGGGCTGGGTTTTTACAGAACCAACCAACAATAAACAAACAAACAAAGAGAACAACAAAAACAAAGAAACAAACAATCATTCAATCAAACAAACAAACAAACAATCAAACGCAGCAGCGTGGAATGGGCATTCCCCGCTGCAGTGTCCCGGCGGAGAACCGCGGAGAACGCCCAGAGGCCGCGAGCAGGACATCCACCTCCACGCCCAATCCTGCTGCACGTCCTCCTCCCCCAACTACTCCCCGTCCTCCTCGTCCTCATCTTTCCCATTTTGCTGATGGTGTGCTGCCACGGCCTCCAGCACCCCCCGCCTCCGCTGCGTGTTCCTCCTCATCGGCCTCCTCTTCCCCCTCCTCCTCCTCCTCCTCCTCTCCCTCCTCCTCCTCCTCCTCCTCCTCCTCCCTCTCCTCTCCTCCTCCTCCTCCTCCTCCTCCTCCTCCTCCTCCTCCTCCTCCTCCTCCTCCTCCTCCTCCTCCTCCTCCTCCTCCTCCTCCTCCCCTCCCTCCTCCTCCTCCTCCTCCTCCTCCTCCTCCTCCTCCTCTCCTCCTCCTCCTCCTCCTCCTCCTCTCCTCCTCCTCCTCATCCCTCCTCCTCATGGTTCCTGGCCCTCCATCTTACCATCGCGCCATTGGTCGTCCTCCACCAGTGGCACCTGCTCCTGCACCTCCTTAAGCACCCCCACCCATGCATTCTCCTAACCATCGTCCTCCTGTTCCTGGCCAGCCTGCCCGCCCTCCTCATCCTCCCTTTCCTCCTCGCCCTCCTCCTCCTCGTCCCCCTGCTCCTACCACATCATCCTTCTCCTTCGCCAGCTCCCTCCTCCTCTCCTCCTCCTCCTCCTCCTCCTCCTCCCCTCCTCCTCCTCTCCTCTCCTCCTCTCCCCTCCTCTCCCTCCTCCTCCTGCTCCTCTGCTCCTCCTTTTCGTTTTCATGGCCCCCCTCCTCCCCCCATCGTTCTCCTCGTGTGGTTCCACCTGCTCCTCCACCTCCTCCTCCTCCTCCTCTCGCCTCCTCCTCCTCCTCCTCCTCCTCCTCCTCCTCCTCCTCCCCCCTCCTCCTCCTCCTCCTCCTCCTCCTCCAGGCCTCGTCCAGTCTTCGCACGGCCAGGCTGCAGGCGGCTGCTGAGCAGCGCGCTTGCGGCGACAGCAGTGCCAGTGGAGTTCCTCGTCGCGCCGCGTTGGCACAGCGTGCGGAGGGAGGGCCCCCGACAGCACCCACCCCGCCACCTTTGGCGACCTCTCGCCACCCTCTTTGAGGAGGGGTCAAAGGGTCGGGGGGGGGGCTGCCATTTGTTTGGCAACCGCCGCGGGTGCTGCCTTCTTCTCTCCGCCCTCTCTCCCCCTCCTCTGCACGTTGCGCTTATCAAAACGTTCCTCCACCTCCTCCTCCTCCCCCTCCCCTTTTCCTCCTGCTCCTCCTCCCCCTCCTACACCTGTTCAGCGTCCTCTTCATCCTCCCCGTCCAGCTCGCGCAGTACGAGAAAGCCGCAGGGCGGGCGCCTCGGACGCGCGGTGGGGGCCCCGAGCACGCGCCAGCGACGGGAGGTTGCGGTTGCGCGCGCCCGCGGCCGGGCTGAAAATTGTCGCCAGGTTCCGGGCGGCTGCGCGCGCGGGTTGACATGTGTCGCCTGGTTGTGGTTGTGGTTGCACGCGCGCGCGGGTTGAAATGTGTCGCCTGTTTGCGTTCGCGGTTGCGGCTGCGCGGCTGGGATGAGATGTGTCGCCTAGTTGTGGTTAGGGTTACGCGCGCGGGCGGGTCGACATGTGTCGCCTGATTGCGGTTGCGGTTGCGGTCGTGCGGGCGGATTCACATGTGTCGCCCGGTTGCGGTTGCGGTATCGCGCGCGGGCGGGTTGAATTGTGTCGCTTGGTCGCGGTTGCGGTCGCGCGGGCGGGCTGGAACTGCGCGGGTGGGTTGAAATCTGTCGCCTGGTTGCGGTTGCGGTTGCGTTTGCGCGGGCGGGTTGAAATGTGTCGCCTGTTTGCAGTCACGGTTGCGGTTACGCGGGCGGGTGTAAATGTGTCGCCTAGTTGCGGTTGCGGTTGCGTTTGCGCGGGCGGGTGTAAATGTGTCGCCTAGTTGCGGTTGCGGTTTCGTTTGCGCGGGCGGGTTGAAATGTGTCGCCTATTTGCGGTCGCGGTTGCGGTTACGCGGGCGGGTTGAAATGTGTCGCCTGGTTGCGGTTGCGATATCGCGCGCGGGCGGGTTGCCATGTGTCGCCTGGTTGCGGTTGCGGTTGCAGTTGCGCGGCCCGGTTGCAGTTGCGCTGCTTGGTTCAAAATTGTCGCTTGGTTGCGGCTGCGGTTGCGCGCGCGGGCGGGTTGAAATGTGTCGCCTGGTTGCGGTTGCGATTGCAGTTGCGGCTGCGCTGCCGGCTTAAAATGCGTCGCCTGGTTGCGGTTGCGGTTGCGCGGGCGGGTTGGAATGTGTCGCCTGGTTCTGGTTGCGATTGCGGTTGCACGAGCGGTGTGTCGCCTGATTGCGGTTGCGGTTGCGCGGGCGGGTTGAAAGATGTCGCCTGATTGCGGTTGCGGTCGCGCGCGTGGCAAGGCTTTAATGTGTCACCTGGTTGCGTTTGCGGTTGCGGTTGCGCGGGCGGGTTGACATGTGTCACCTGGTTGCGGTTGCGATTGCGTTTGCGCGGGCGGGTTGACATGTGTCGCTTGGTTGCGGTTGCGGTTGCGGTTGCGCGGCCGGGTTGACATGTGTCGCCTGGTTGCGGTTGCGATTGCGGTTGCGCGGGCGGGTTGAAATGTGTCGCCTGGTTGCGGTTGTGGTTGCGCGGGCGGGTTGAAATGGGTAGCCTGGTTGTGGTTGCGGTTAAGCGGCCAGGTTGAAATTTGTCGCCTGGTTGCGGTTGCGATTGCGGTTGCGCGGCCGGGTTGACATGTGTCGCCTGGTTGCGGTTGCGGTTGCGATTGCGTGGCCAGCTTGAAATGTGTCGCCTGGTTGCGGTTGCGGTTGCGGTTGCGCGGGCGGATTGAAATGTGTCGTCTGGTTGCGGTTGCGATTGCGGTTGCGCGGCCGGGTCGACATGTGTCGCCTGGCTGCGGTTGCGGTTGCGATTGCGTGGCCAGCTTGAAATGTGTCGCCTGGTTGCGGTTGCGGTTGCGGTTGCGCGGGCGGGTTGAAATGTGTCGTCTGGATGCGGCTGCGGTTGCGCACGCTGCCAGATTGAAATGTGTCGCCGAGTTGCGGTTGCGATTGCGGTTGCGCGGGCGTGTTGACATGTGTCGCCTGATTGCGATTGCGGTTGCGGTTGCGCGGGCGGGTTGATATGTGTCGCCTGGTTCCGGTTGCGATTGCGGTTGCGCGAGCGGTGTGTCGCCTGATTGCGGTTGCGGTTGCGCGGGCGGGTTGAAAGATGTCGCCTGATTGCGGTTGCGGTTGCGCGCGTGGCAAGGCTTTAATGTGTCACCTGGTTGCGTTTGCGGTTGCGGTTGCGCGGGCGGGTTGACATGTGTCACCTGGTTGCGGTTGCGATTGCGTTTGCGCGGGCGGGTTGACATGTGTCGCTTGGTTGCGGTTGCGGTTGCGGTTGCGCGGCCGGGTTGACATGTGTCGCCTGGTTGCGGATGCGAGTGCGGTTGCGCGGGCGGGTTGAAATGTGTCGCCTGGTTGCGGTTGCGGTTGCGCGGGCGGGTGGACATGCGTCGCCTGGTTGCGGTTGCGGTTAAGCGGCCAGGTTGAAATGTGTCGCCGAGTTGCGGATGCGATTGCGGTTGCGCGGGCGTGTTGACATGTGTCGCCTGATTGCGGTTGCGATTGCGGTTGCGCGGGCGTGTTGATATGTGTCGCCTGGTTCCGGTTGTTGATGCGGTTGCGCGGCCGGGTTGAAATGTGTCGCTTGATTGCGGTTGCGGTTGCGGTTGCGGTTGCGTGGGCGGGTTGGAATGTGTCGCCTGACTGCGGTTGCGGTTGTGGTTGCGCGGGCGGGTTGACATGTGTTGCCTGGTTGCGGTTGCGGTTGCGCGGGCGGGTTGAAATGTGTCGCCTGGTTGCGGATGCGGTTGCGGCTGCATGGCCAGGTTGAAATGTGTCGCCTGGTTGCAGTTTCGGTTGCGGTTGCGCGCGTGGCCGGGTTGAAATGTGTCGCCTGGTTGCGGTTGCGCGCTCCCGCGGGCGGTTTGACCTGTGTTCTCAGACGTGCTCTCCTGAAGTTCAGTCAGTCAATCACCGGCGGGCACGGAAGTTCACCTGGCTCCGCCGGGAAACAAGCAAGCAATCAAGCACGCACATAACATAAACCAACAATCAGTCAAGCGAGACAACAAACCGAACAAAACATAAACCAGCGACAGCGCAGCGTTTGGGCAGGAGATGCCGGGCGCCCTCCTCCCCTTCCCCTCCGTAACCACGAGTGACCTCCCCACGAGACGTCTCCCATGCCCGCCTTGTCCCCCGCCTCCATTCCCCCATTCTGCCCCCCTCGCCTCCGAAGAAGCCCTGATAAAAGCTACTGGGAACCTCCCGATGGCTCCTCCGAGGGCCTCCCGTAGCCTGCCTGCTGCTGCGCCTGCGACTACTGCTGCACTGCTGCTGCTCCTCCCCCTCCTGCTACGACGGCCGACAAACGAAGACGGCGGCCGATTACGACGGCCGACGACGACGACGACGACGAAGACGACGACCGAAGGCGAAGCCCTGCGGTCGCGTGGCCGCGTGGACTGCGGCGCTCCCCACCCGTCCCCCTCCTCCTCCGCCGCCGCCGCCGCCTCCTCCCTGTTTTGCTCCTCGTCCGCCTCCGCCTCCTCCTCCAGCTCCTCCTCCTCCAGCTCCAACTCCAACTCCAGTTCCTTCCCCTCCTCCATTCTCCACCCCCACCTCTTCCCAGGGGCAACGACCACGGGGGCCCAGCTCAGGAGGGGAGCCTCGAGCTCGAGTCGGCGACGCACCGCCCCACAGATCGGCCATGGGCCCCCGGTGGCGAGGCCGCGCGCTCATGGGCGGGGTGGGCCAGCGGGCCGAGAGCGGCGAGGAATGGCTGCTTGGGGGTCTAAGCATCCCCCTGAGCCGATCCCCCCCTAAAAGTTGACCCTGCTCTTCCTCCTCCTCCTCCTCCTCCTCCTCCTCCTCCTCCTCCTCCTCCTCCTCCTCCTCCTCCTACTGCCACCCCTGCGCCTCGAGTACCCCTGCAGCACGGAGGTCAGGAAGCCCTGCGGGAAGTAGAAGGCGGAGATCCAGTAAGCGTCCGGCACCTAGGCACACCCAGAGGCGCAGCACGCGTCGCCCCCTCCTCCACCTCCTTGTTCTCCTCCTCCTCCTCCTCTTCCTTCTCCTCCTCCTCCTCCTCCTCCTCCTCCTTCTCCTCCTCTCCCATCCCCATCTAAATAACTCCTCCCTGTCGCAGCCCCAGACGTGTCACAAGGGCGAGCCGGGCGTTTCGCCAACGACTTCTCCACCATGCATCACGATCTGAAGCTTAACGTGTGCAGCAGTTTCGAGGATGGAGGGCAACTGGTTTTCAACATCTGGCTCTCACCATAGCGCCGCGCACATTCGTCATAGCTGGCAACGGTTGCAAGGAGTTGCGGGGTTGAAGTCCCAGGAATTGCTTCCGGGCAAAAGTCAGGACTGTCAGGTCACACTGGTCACGTTGATTCGCGGCGTCGAAGTCCCAGGAATTGCTTCCTGGCAGGATTTCGGACTGTCAGGTCGCAACATTCACGTTGATTCGCGGCGTTGAAGTCCCAAGAAGTGCGTTTTGGCACGATCGCGGATTCTCAGACGGCTGTTTCTCAACGGGGCACTCACCGCAATAAAAATAGATTATCGTAGGGACCAATGAAAGGAGAGCTTTGAGGGAAGTTTGATTGCAACATCCTTGATGCGTCTTGGGTTTACTCTGGTCCTCCTCCTTCTCCTCAACCTCCTCCCTCTCATCCCCATCCTCCCCTCCATCCTCCTGTATATCCTCCGCTTCCGGTATCTCCTCATCCTCCACGTCACCCTCTTCCTCTTCCTGCCCCATCCTCATCCTGTCCACGTTCTCGTGATCCTGCGCAAAGTCATCATCGGCAACAACACTATCATCACCACTACTATTATCCTCATCGTTACCATCATCATCATCATCATCATCATCATCATCATCAGCATCATTAGCATCACCATCGTCATCATCACAACAAGCATCATCATCATCATCATCAGCATCATCGACATCATCATCATCATCATCATCATCATCATCAGCAGCAGCATCAGCATCAGCATCATCAGCATCATCATCACCATCACCATCACCATCACCACCACCACCACCATCATCATCATCATCACCATCAGAGTCAGAATAATCATCATCATCATCATCATCATCATCATCATCGTCATCATCATCATCATCATCATCATCGTCATCATCATCATCATCATCAGCAGCATCATCATCATCAGCATCAGCATCAGCATTAGCATCATCATCATCATCATCATCATCATCAGCATCATCATCACCTTCATCACCAGTATCATCATCATCACCAGCATCATCATCAGCAGCAACATCATGATCAACGACAATATCCGCCGATTCCTTGGGGTTCATCGGCGTGTGAGGTGCTTCCCCCTCCCCAAACTCCTCCCCCGGGAGCCGGGTTCGGTCGATTTGGAGGGGGGGTCTATCTGGGCCCCCCAGGGCGGGGTCCTTTGCTCCAGAAATTCTGCTGGGGGGGATTGAGGGCTTGAAAACTGGCTACGAGGGCCTCAAAAGGCTTCCAAGACGGCCCAAGAAGGCCCCGAGTCGCCGAAACATCGTCTCAAGACGCCCAAGATTGCCTCCAGACGGCCCCAGATGCCGCAAAGACGCCCCAAGAGGCGTCTAAGAGAACTTCCCACCAGGGCTCAAGAGGCCAAAATCTTTGATTTTCATGCGTTTTTGTTCCGACGTGCTTGGCTTTCTCGCCTTTCGGGCTTCCGACGCTCCAAGACAGCCCCAGAGGCCCCAAAGACCGCCTCAAGACGACCCCCGAGAAGGCCCCAAGACGGCCCAAGAGAGCCCTAACACGAGTCAAGCCTCAAGATAGCCCAGGAGGCCTCCAAGGGGGCTCCAAGAGGGGACCAATAAGGGGACCACGAACAGAAAACTCTAACTTTTCGCCCCAAGAGGCTCCCGGGAAGCAAGGGCCCCTCGAGGCTCCCGACGCGCCACGACGGCTCCCCAAACCCCCCAAACCGCCTCAAAACGGCCCGTCTGGCCCCCGAGAAGGTCCCACGACGGCCCAAGAGGGCCAGAACACGGGTCGAGAGGGCCTCAATCTTGGGCTCCGAAGGCCCCAAAAAGGGCCCAAGAAGGGGACCACGAACAGAAAATTCAAGCTCTCCGCCCCACGAGGCTCTCGGTATGGCCCAAGAGGCCCTCAGGGGGCTCCACGAGGCCCCCACGAGACCGCCAAGAGCCCCAAAAGAGGCCCCAAAAGGCGCCTCCAAGACGCTCCAAGAGGCTTCGACGAGACCTCCCGCAGGAGCCCCAAGAGGCCAAAATCCCTAATGTGTAGCCGTTTTTTGTCAAGATGTTTGGCTTTCTCGCCTTTTCGGGCTTCCGACGCTTCACGACGGCCCCAGAGGCCCCCAAAACCGCCTTAAGACGGCCCGTCGGGCCCCCGAGAAGGTCCCACGACGGCCCAAGAGGGAAAGAGCGCCAGTGGATCACCTGGAAAGACACAAAAGGGGGGGGGTGCTCCAGGGAACCCCCCCCCCCCCCCCCCCCTTAAGGGGGGGGGGGGGGTCCGAGAACCCCCCCCCCCCCTCCCCCCTTTAAAGGGGGGGGGGGGGTTCGAACCCCTCCCCCCCCCCCCCTTTGAAAGGGGGGGGGGTTCGGAACCCCTCCCCCCCCCCCTTGAAGGGGGGGGGGGGGTTCGGAACCCCCCCCCCCCCTCCCCCCCTTTCCGCAGGGGTCCGGTGCGAGCGAGCCGAGCGCGCGGACTGTTGGACGTAGGGGCCGTCGGGGGCGGGACTCTGAAAGCTTTGCGGGTGTGCGGGGCCGGGCCCCTCGAGCGAGGTTTAGGGTTTAGGGTTTAGGGTTAGGGTTAGGGCTTAGGGTTTAGGGTTTAGGGTTTAGGGTTTAGGGTTTAGGGTTTAGGGTTTAGGGTTTAGGGTTTAGGGTTTAGGGTTTAGGGTTTAGGGTTTAGGGTTTAGGGTTTAGGGTTTAGGGTTTAGGGTTTAGGGTTTAGGGTTTAGGGTTTAGGGTTTAGGGTTTAGGGTTTAGGGTTTAGGGTTTAGGGTTTAGGGTTTAGGGTTTAGGGTTTAGGGTTTAGGGTTTAGGGTTTAGGGTTTAGGGTTTAGGGTTTAGGGTTTAGGGTTAGGGGTTTAGGGTTTAGGGTTTAGGGTTTAGGGTTTAGGGTTTAGGGTTTAGGGTTTAGGGTTTAGGGTTTAGGGTTTAGGGTTTAGGGTTTAGGGTTTGGGGTTTGGGGTTTGGGGTTTAGGGTTTAGGGTTTAGGGTTTAGGGTTTAGGGTTTAGGGTTTAGGGTTTAGGGTTTAGGGTTTAGGGTTTAGGGTTTAGGGTTTAGGGTTTAGGGTTTAGGGTTTAGGGTTTAGGGTTTAGGGTTTAGGGTTTGGGGTTAGGGGTTAGGGGTTAGGGTTAGGGTTAGGGTTAGGGTTTAGGGTTAGGGTTTTAGGGTTTAGGGTTTAGGGTTAGGGTTAGGGTTTAGTGTTAGGGGTATGGTTTGTGTTGAGGGTTAAGGTTTAGGGTTAGGGTGAGGGTTTAGGGTTAGGGTTCGGGTTCGGGTTTAGGGTTAAGGTTTAGGGTTCAGGGTCTAGGGTTAGGGTTAAGGTTTAGGGTTAGGTCATAGGGTTTAGGGTTACGGTTAAGGTTTAGGGTTAGGGTTAGGGCTAGAGTTTAGGGTTAGGGTTAGGGTTAAGGATTAGGGTGTAGGGGTTAGGGTTAGGGTTAGGGTTAGGGTTTAGGGTCAGGGTTTAGGGTGTAGGGTTTTGGGGGTTAGGGTTTAGGGTTGGGGTTGAGGTTAGGGTTTAGGGTTAGGGTTAGGGTTTAGGGTTTAGGGTGAGGGGTAGGGTTGGGGTTAGGGTGTAGGGATAGGGTTGAGGGTTAGGGTTAAGGGTTCAGGTTTAGAGCTTAGGTTAGGGCTAGGCTTAGTGTTAGGGTTTGGGGTCAGGGTTAGGTCTACGGTTAGGGTTTAGGCTTCGGGTTAGGGATTGAGGATTAGGGTTCAGGGTTTGGGTTAGAGGTTAGGGCTTCGGGGGGGTCGGGGCGGGGGTGGTAGGGATGGGGTTCCGGAGCCGGGGCGCGAGCCGGAAAGGGGAGGGGGGGGGGGGGGGGGGGGTTCGCCGACGAAGGTTCGGGAGAGGGGGGGGGGCGGTTCGGGACGGCTCGGGCAAGGGGGGGGGGGGGGGGGGGGGTTCGCCCGACGGACGGCTCGGCAGGGGGGGGGGGGGGGGGCGGAGGGGTTCGCCGACCACGGCTCGGGCAAAGGGGGGGGGGGGGGGGGGGGGGTTCCGAAACCCCCCCCCCCCCTTTGGGTGATCCAGCGGCGCGCCCTCCCCAAGAGGGCCTGAGCAATTGTGAAGAGGGCCTCAAGACAACCCAAGAAGCTTCCAAGAAGGCCCCAAGAAGGGCCCAAGGAGGGGACCACGAACAGAAAATTCAAGCTCTCCGCCCCAAGAAGCTCCCGGGATGGCCCAAGAGGCCCTCCAGGGGCTCCACGAGGCCCCCACGAGACCGCCAAGAGCCCCAAAAGAGGCCCCAAGAGGCCGCAAAACAGCCCCCCAGAGGCCGCCAAACTGCCTCGGGAAGGCCCCAGCGACGCTTCTCACGAGATCCCACCGCACATCCAAGAGGCTTCTGAGCCACAGCCCAGGCACGGTGGCGGGATGGGCCGAATGCCACCAGATACAAGCACAGTATAATTTATGCACCGGTTGAGCTGGGATGGTACGAATTCATTACTAGGATAGACGATGGAAGATCGGGTGCGAATGAAGAGGACCGAGTGCGGCGTTGTCGCTGGGACCTGTGTCAGTATTCCTTCTGGAAATCCACCCCCGATCTACCCGACCAACGACAATCCCAGGGCTATGTGGGCATTGTGCGCGTTTTCAGGGAAATCTCGCGCTTTGAACTTCCCGACGCTCGTAGAAGACCCGCAAAGCCCCCACGACGGCCCCACGACGGCAGCAGCGACCTCCACGACGCCCACGGAGGCGCCCGATACCAACTCCAAAAGAAAACCAGACAAAGGACCCGATCGGACACTCCGAGCCCTCGGCCCCAAGAAGACCACAGGAGATCCCACCAGAACCCTCCCAAGGCTGACACGAGGCCCCCACCGGACGGGATCTACTACACCCCGAAGGGGTCAGCGGTGCGGCGTAAGCCCGAGAATCACCATCCTCATCCTCATCCACTCTCCTTCCTCATGTGGGGGGGCGAGGGAGGGGAAGGGAGGGTAGAACGATAGCACTCGCCCGCTCGCTTGGCAATGCATCCGGCAAGACGCGATGGCAAACGCAGAATTGTAACGTTGGCAGCCGACTGGAAGCCATCAACCGCAAATATACGATGAAAACTGGAGCTAAAAGGGTAGATGGGGAGGGGAAAGGCGAGATTGGCTCAGACCGTGTTCTGAGAAGTCAACTGCTGCCTAGGCCTGCCACGTCTCCCATGAAGAGCCCAGCGATTTGGTGTTCCATCGTGTTCCCATACAACTTGTCTGACAAAAGAGGTATGATCACGCGTGGCAAGTCTGGAAAAAGCTCATCAAGAGGGTTATTGCAAACTCTCGTCTGCGTTGCTGACTCGTAGAACACATGAAGGAGGCACGCCGAGAATACGTTGCAAAAACACATGCAGTGGAATGTGTCAAGCCACGCTGTTTTCTTCGAGTGACTAGACCGAGCCTAAAGAGTGCAGCCATTTGCTCACCACGCAAATTGAGTAAACAGTTTGGTTTCAGCTTCTATAGAACGATGACAAGGAACGAATGCATCGGGCACGGATGACCTAGGGTTATGTTGTTCCCATCGACCTTAAGGACCACATCCCAGAAAGAATTTCGAGCACCAAGAGAAGTATCGAAACAGTGTCGAACGAGCATCGCCTCCCAGAGCCCGACACGTGAACATCCTCCAGATTCGGTGCTGTCTTGGTGCTCGAAATTCTTCCTGGCGTTCAAGGCTAAAGCAAGAGCTCGATATTCTTCCTGGTGCTCGAAATTCTTCCTGGTTGGAACATCATAAACCTGGAGACAAAACCAACCGCATTCACAGAAACCCCCTCCCTGGCGCGCGGAGCGCGCTAGAGAGCGCCGCCAGAGGCGCCGCCAGGGGGGCCCAGCGCCGATCCAAAAAGTCCGCGCGAACCTCCGCAGCCTTAGAAAGCCCAGGGCTCGCTAAAAGACCGTTTGTTTATGTTCGGCGATGACGGGCGTCATGGGGGGGGGGCGAGGGGAGCTATGACGTAACGCCCCCCCCCCGTCGTGTGGCTCCGGCATCGCAGCCGCGCCCGCACGCACGACGCGACGAGCGACAAGCGACAAGCGACGACGACGACGACGACGACGACGCGAGCAGCATGTAGGTGGCGATTTGCCCCACAACGCTCGCGTGCACCACAGCGCGCGTGTAAACCACAGCGCTACATCGCAACAACCGTGTGCAACGCAGCGCCTGTGTACACTGCAGTGCTTGCGTACATTGCAGCGCCAGTGTACATGTGCACACCGCAGCAACCATGTGCAATACAGCGCTTGTGTACGTCACAATGCTTGCGTGCACCGCGGCGCCTGTGCTCGCCACAGCGCCTGTCTACACCACAGCATTCGCGTACAACGCAGCGTTTTTGTACACCACAGCGCCTGCGTGCATAGGACAGGTAACAGAAGCCTGTACGTGAGGATCTGCTGCGGAAGCGCCACGCCAGAAAGCTGAGAATCGAATGTGACGTTTTCCCTCTTCCCTTCTCGTCCACTTCCACCTCCTCCTCCTCCTCCTCCTCCTCCTCCTCCTCCTCCTCCTCCTCCCCCTCCTCCTTACCCCCTGTTGTGCGGGTTGGCGCTACAGCGCACGTGCGCAACTCAGCGTGCATCGCAGAATGGTCGATTGAATCGGCCCACTTGGTTCTCGGACGGCCAATGTAGCTGAAGACTCCTGGACGCAGATGGAAGGAGTTACGGTGATGCGGGCGAACTCGGAAGGACTCGTAAATTCCCCTGGCGCTCCCTGGATTTTTTAACCTGAGGTTGGGCATGTCCCCCTACAGACAGATCTCGGATAAAAGAATACGACATTTGTCAAAAAATCACCAAACAATTGTCAACAAAATGATCGGATAAATCGCTCCAGAGCGTTCCGGAGCGCTCTCAGAGCGTTCCGGAACGCTCTGGAGCGGCCGCGGCGCCCAGTATATCCTCCAAGCCCGCCGATTCTCAGAGATTTCGAGTTATATCCCGATCCGATTTTGTCCCGATCTTCGCGTCGTTTTGTTCCGGAGCGGCACAGCATGGTGCACAGCACCCGCCAGTCGTCGGGGGAGCATATACTCTGCCCCCGTCGCGCCTTCCTCTGGCCCACGGGCGCCGCCCGCGGGCGGGCGCGGAGCTGCTGCCGCGCGGCACACAGCTCCATGCAGTGGCCGCTGCGCCCCGCTTGTGCTCTTCGGGGGCGGCAAAGAGGGGGGTGATGACTAGGGGGGGGTATCATGGCGGGGGTCATGATAGTTCCCCAGATTTCGTGGCGCCTCTTCTTGTTTCATTACGTCCCTGGCCCCCCCGCTGGGCCGCGCACATGCCGCCGGTCATGATTTGCACCCCCCCCTCTTGGCCGCTCCCGAGCTCTGGGAGCCGCCGACCGTTCGCGATCCCTGGGCTGATCGTCGAAAAGGCTACGGTCAGAATTCTGTCGGGCGTGTTCCTCCGCATGAGGAGGCTTCAGAAATAGTCAAAATGGTCTCGATCCGGGCGTTGTCTCCGAATTTCGGCCTCTGGTGTTAGGGTCGGGCATGTCCTCCTGGAGGCGGAGCTTGGACGAAGAATAAAACATAATCAGAAGAAGCCTCGACAAGAATCGGAGGCAGTCAAAAAAAATCGTCCCCTGACTGTCTTGCAACACTCTTGGGAGATTCCCCCTGCAGAGGACGGCGTCACCCCCTCCGCGGCCGCCCCCGAAGTAAGGCCGGGACGAGAAGCTGAGCCCGGGAGAGGCGGCCGCGCCCGGGCCGCGGCGCGAGGGAGAAGACAGGTCAGCTCGGCGGGCGCGGCGGGGCGCAGGGCCTCTCTCTCCCCGCCGGGGCGCAGCGGAGCGCTGGCGGGGGCCGCAAGGAGAACAAGCGCGGTGTGGCCGCAGATGCTGGACCGAGCACGGCGGAGTCTGGACGAGAAATCAAAAATCACCAAACATGGTCAAACTTGCCAAACAAAGCATCGAAGGAAACATCGTCCCCATACTATGTGCTTTGAGTCTGATTGAACATTCATTCCTCCTGTGAAAGGGGCATGCCCGACTTAATTCAGCGAAGGGGGGGCGGGGAGGGGAAAGGCATGTCGCGGCCGCTCCAGGCGCTCCCGCCGCTCCGGGAGTCGCTGGAACCTGGCACGGTCGGACTCGGACTGGACAGGACACCCGAGAGGGCACGAGACTCGTGCGACGGCAACGGGGCCCCAGGGCACCACAAGGACGTGCGGGCTGCACGGGCCGGGACAGACAGGCCACAGGGGTACAGTCGGGGCGTTGACCTAAGGAACCCCAAATGAGGAACGAAGCCCCTTTTTTCCATAAGCTAAACTTCGACTTCCGATCGGAAACATGAGGAAAACCCGAGGCAAGCTGCGAAGCACTGAAGGAACGCGGAGCCCCTCCCCAACGAAAAGGGTTCCTTCTTCAGGGCCCCGACTGTAGTCCTGGGTTCTGCAAGTTTTCGGCCGCGGATGTACCAGCGCCGATGCTGAGTTTCACCTCCCAGGAGCTGCACCCTACTTACGAGGGGGCCCTGAGGGATGGGGCCCCAAGGACGAGTGGCCTCAACCAGTGAAGATTCAGCTCGGCCCCATCCCTCGATTTGGCACGGTGGACCTACCAACCAGGGCCGACTGTGTCGGCACTGTGGGCCGCCCCGCCCCTCCCCCGGGGCCGTCCCTCTGCCCGCCGCGGGCCGCGTCCGCCGCGGCGGCCCCCCCTGGGGGGGCCCGACAACGGACCCCGAGGCCGAAGAAGCAGGAGAAGGGAAACACGAAAGCGAACCAGACATAAGAGGAGGAGGAGGAGAGGGAGGAGGAGGAGGAGGAGGAGGAGGAGGAGGAGGAGGAGGAGGAGGAGGAGGACAGCTGGCACCAGCCGACACGTGAAGCGGGAATGCGGGGGGCCTCGCCCCTACCCCCCTCCGGAGGCCCGCCAGGCCAGCACCAGAGGCATGAGCCCCGTCCTCCCCCGAGCACCCCGTTGTCGATCCACTCCCTGAAGAAGTCCACGCGGAGGATCATGTCCTGGCCGTGCCGCCAGGCGGCACTCGCATCCCTCCGACCTTCCCGAACCTTGCCCTCACCAACCTCCTCCTCCTCCTCTTCCCTTCTCTCGTCCTCCCTGCCTGCCTCCCTCTGTTCCCCTCCTGCACCACCCCCTTACACTCTCTTCCCTCCATCCCCCCTTCGCCCTGCCGCCTATCCGCGGACGAGTGTCACAGTGGACCTGGGACTCCCAAGAAGGCCCCATCGTACGATTCGCCATCGGGAAAGCTAAGCTGAGTAGATAGGATGAGGGGGGAAAGGAGGTGGCCGATGAGCAGGAGGATGAACCCGAGGAGAAGGAGGAAAAGGAGGAGGAGGAGGAGGAGGACGCAGGAGAAGAAAGGAGGAGGACGAGGACGAACAGCAGCAGCAGCAGGAACTGGAGTGGAAGGAGCGGGAGGAGCAGGAGGACCAGGGGCAGGCTGAGCAGGGAAAAGGAGGGGGGCGACAAGGATGAGGAGGGACTTGGACTCAGAGAAGTGGCCCGCGCTGGGGCGAGAGCGCCAGTCTGAACGACAGGATCGAAGCGCCGATCCTAGAACGAGGCTAACGCTGCAGCGGCAACACCATTTCAAAGACACCGAAAAACAACCCGATTGAAACAATACATAGGGAATGTCAGATCCGCCAACCCTGTCGGCGTGTGTGAAGGGCTTTCCGTTTTCGTCATCGTCGTCGTCGCTACTTCTCCCCTGTCCGTGGATCCTTCTCCTCAAACGTTCCGGCCAGAGGGACCTCGAGCAACATCGTAATCGAATCGCAAGGAAGCCCCTTCTCTCTGATCCCTTCCCCGCTGAGGGGGGGGATCCTGGGGACGGTTCCTGGGGGTTGTGCGTCCCCCCATCCCCGGTGTGGAGGGGGCACCCCTCCCTCAGAGAAGCTTCCCATTCGATCTATTGCCTCCCAGGCGCCTCGAGCTCACGCGTGCCGCGGCTTCCTCCAAAAAGGCCCTGGAAAAGCCCGCGATCGCTTCAGGACACGGCCTCGGGACCCCTTCGGACGCCCTCAGAGGGCTCTAAGAAGAGCCCCAAGAGGGCCCCAAGAAACAAACATCTTAATTTCCATTGCCGAAAGCGCCTCAAAAACTGACCACGGCGGCCCAAAATACAGTCAACCCATATCATAAGGATGCACGATAAGGATGCAAGGGCCTTGAAGGCCATGTTGACATTTTGCAAGCGGTGCGCGGCCAACGAATGCGGCCAAGGATGGACCGAGGAGGCAAGGACGCAAGGGTACCCTGGGGAAGGTTGCTCATCCTTATTATGCGGGTTGACTGAGACAGCCGAAGAGTGCCCTACGAGGGCCCTAAGAGGCTCCCAAAGGGGCGAACACCAACCGACATGTCGAGTCTTCCACTCCAAGAGGCCCCCAAGAGGCCCCAAGAGACGCCCAACAAATCCCCAAGCAAGAGGCTCCCAAGAGGCCCCAAAGAGCTCCAGGAGCACTCCCGAGAGAACCCCAGGAGGGTAAAATCAACGATGCTCATTCAGGTATAACTGCTTTTCATCGTCGCCATGGTCGTCCTTGTCGTGGTCGTGGTCGTGGTGGTCGTAGTCGAGGTCGTGGCCTTGGCCGTCGTCGTCGTGGTCGTCGTCGCAGTCGTGGTCGTGGTCGTCGCCGCCGCCGCCGTCGTCGTCGTCGTTCCCCTTCGGGATCGGCGCGCCAACTCTAAGGCCTTCGCACGAATCAAACTCCATGTGAACAGAATACGCGGAGGGGGGCGGGACACCCCCAAGCCATCCCCGAGAAAGAAAGGAGAGTAGTGCTCAGATGAAGTAAATGTGGAGGACGAGAGGAAGAGAATACCGAGAGGAACAGTGATGATGACGAGGTTATCCATGGTGACGATCGTGGCTTCCCGGCGTGCTACTTGAGCATGAGATGCCGAACTGTTCGAAGATACCTGTGATATCGCGTCTACTGTGTAGACGTACTATTCGAAATGCAAGAACGCCGTGAGTGACCGTGGAGGATGGCTCGTACATAAGAGAATGGCAACAAAGCAAGGAAGACAATCGAGCCACCAGACACAGTACCTTTCTGGAACCCATGTGAACGGATGCATCTGCAAAGACAAGCCACCCACATGCACAGGATAGAATACGGCCGGACCCAGGACTGAATCACATCCTGCAAGAACACGAGACCATCCACCGGCCAAACTGAAGAACACTCTAAGGTACCCTCACCCAGAATGCGCAAGAACATCCAACAAACACGAAGAGCGTCAGGATATCCTCCAGGAACCGATCTCTATCTGATACTTAGGTCTAACCGTACGCAGAGAAGGGCCAGCAAGGTAAAGAAAATATGGCAGTGAAGCTACAAGCTGGCAGTATCCAGTCAAACATGAATTCACTGGCGCTCTGGCCGATGCAGAAGCGCGTGAATTCAGAAAATAGTGCCAGCAGGAAGGCGGCGCACGCCCATACACTTCAGTGTCAATGTGTAAACCATTCAGAACACCTTTTTGTGAGAAGTTGTTACCACAAGCGCCAAAATGCTGACCAACAACGAATTTCTGAGAATATTGTCTGCAACACCCCTTCGAACACGTTTGCCATTGTCGTAGCTCGCTACATGTTCAGGTGCAGAACATGCTAATTCATCACAGATGTGCAATCCTTGCGCCTTCCCATTTAATGTCATCTCATCATGCGGCACCAGCCCAAAATTGCATGACCAAGAATCATTCTAAATTCTGTAGCAGGATACAGACTGACATTCTCAGCTTTGCGGCCCAGCGCTTTGGATCTATGATCCACTATTGACTCAAGCCGCGGGCCTCACTGAACAGACAACAATCCCCAATGAGGCTTCCGCATGTACTGGCCCAAACAACACGTAGGTGATTGTTTCAAGAGTACGCCAACCGACGTCTGACCCGAACGATCACATCCAAAAACACATAAAACATGTCTCCGAGGCGTAGCCTGAGATCTTGAAGGCAATAACCCGACACCGTCACTTCTGCGCTAGGGCACGCGAGCGTTGTTTGAGATGCCCACATACAACGCAAATTAAGTTTGCCACCAGTGATGGCGTCGTCACGGGAAGATTGTCGCCTTGATACTAGTTCGCACCACTGGTTCAGTTCCACTCTCGGATACCCAAGACATACGCGAATAGATTGATGCCCGTGTCCCCCACAACTTGAAATTCCGGAAGCAATCACATATGAAAATCATGAATTCCCTGGTTTGGACCAGGGGTCCCAACAATGGCATATTTCGGTGTGTTCTCGGCCGCTGTGATTGCTGAAATTCATGTCGCAGAAACTGATCGAGCCAAAACTGCTTGAACCATGATGATGATGCTGATGATGATGATAATGATGGTGGTGGTGATGCTGACGATAATGATGATGACGCTGATGATGACGATGATGATGATGCTGCTGCTGATGATGATTACGACTGCGGTGATGGTGATGGAGGTGGTGATGATGGTGATGATGATGGTGATGGTAATGACGATGACGAGGACGAGGACGAGGACGGTGATGGTGATGTTGGTGCTGGTGCTGGTGCTGGTGCTGGTGCTGGTGCTGGTGATGGTGATGATGATGATGATGATGATGATGATGATGATGATGATGATGATGATGATGATGATGATGATGATGATGATGCTGCTGATCGTGGTGGTGGTGGTAATGGTGAGGAGGAAGAGGACGAGGAGGAAGGATGGGGGACGCGGAAAATGAGGGGGGAAAGAGGAGGTGCTCGGCCGCTCAGCTTTCGATTGACTCCGCCCTCCTCCCGCGCAGGGGGCCGCCGCGGCAAAAGGAGAAGGAGGAGGGAGGAGGAGGACGAGGAGGAGGGAGAGCAGCCCGGCCACGACTCCTCCACCGGGCGCGCCGCACGGCCCCGGCTGGGAGCGATCCCCCCTCCCCCCCCGCGTCTCCTCGAACCACGAGAACAGGGGCTTCAGGCTGGGGTAGCCGACGCCGCCCTTGGTCCAGATCTCGGGCACCTGGGCGGCGGGCAGTGGCGGGGGACGGCGACGACGACCACGACGGCGGACGACAGACGACGACGGCGACGGGACGCGACGGCGACGACGGACGACGACGACGACGACGCCGACGACGACGACGACGACGAACGGACGGCGACGGCGACGACGACGACGACGACGACGACGACGACGGACGGACGACGACGGACCGACGACGACGACCGAGACGGACGACGGCGACGGACGGCGACGACGAGACGACCGACGACGACGACGACGACGACGGACGACGACGACGACGACCGACGGCGACGACGCCCTGCCGCTCGTGGGGGAGTGGCGTACGACGGCCCGGCCCGGCCCGAAGGGCGCGGGGGAGGAGGGGGGCGGGGTGGCGCGGGCCCTGCCCGCGCGGCGGCCTCTCGCGGGGATGGGGGGGATGGGAGGGGGAGGAAGGAGGGGGAGGGTAGGGGCTAGGGGGGGAATGGAGGGAGGGAAGCGGGGAGGAGAGGGAGGGGAGGGAGGGGAAGGGGCAGGGGGGAGGGAGGGGAGGGAGGGAGGGGCAGGGGAGGGGAGGGAGGGGAGGGGAGGGAAGGCTAGGGAGGGGAGGAGAGGAAGGGGAGGGGAGGGGAGGGGAGGGGAGGGCAGGGCAGGGGAGGGGAGGGGAGAGAGGGCTGTTTTCCCTGAGGCTGGGATGGGGCGCCTGGTATTACTCAGACGGCTCCGAGGACCTCTTCCTCCCCTCCGCCTGCTCCTCTTCCTCACTGGGGATCACCCAGGCTTACCCACGCTCACTCCTACTCAGATTCAGTCAGACTCGTACTCACTCGCAGTCTGACTTGCTCACACTCAGACTCCCTCACATTCAAGCTCACTCACACTCAGATTCACTCACACTCTGACTAACTCATACTCAACCCCGCTCATACCAAGACTCACTCATACTCAGGCTCTCTAGTACTCAGGCTCACTCATACTTAGACCCACTCAAACTCAGACTCACTCTCAGACTCTTTGGAGTCACAATCTCTTCTAGCACTCAAGGGGGAGGCGCCAGGGGGCAGGACGTTCTAGGATTCGCACCCAGACTGGAGATGTCTCAAGCGGTTTGCTCGTGTGCGTGCTCAACATCCTCTGGTTTCGGAGCAAATGTCGAGGATGTCTCTGGCGAGGCGCTGGTTTCAGCACTCCAAGAATCTCCTGCCTCAGGCGGGTTGCCGATGTGCGTGCCCAACATCTCTTGCGTTCGGAGCAGAAGATGAGGATGTCTCAAGCGAGGCGCTTGTTTCAGCATTCTCAGTGGGTAGCGTCTGGGGGGTATGACACGGGCCCTTTCGCGCCCAGATTGTGGAATGTGTCGAGCGGCTTGCACGTTCGCGTGAGAAACATCTCTTGTGTTCGGAACAGACTGCGAGGATGCCTCAGGCGATGCGCTGGTTTCAGCACCCTCAGGGGGGGGGGGCGACAGGGGGCATGACACCCCCCCTTCGCGTCTAGGTTGTGGCGATGCATCTGGCGGTTTGCCTGTTTGCGTGCCCAGCAGCTCTTGCTGTCGAACCAGATGCTGACGATGTTCCAGGAACGCTGCTTCAGCACAGCATTCCCAGGGGTATGACACTCGCCCGTTCGCACCCAACGTGTGGGAATGTCTCAAGTGGTTTGCCTGACTGCGAGCCCAACATCTCTTGCTGTCAGAGCAGGTGTTGCGGATTTCTCAAGCGAGGCGATGGTTCCAGCACCAACGTGGGGGGTATCAAGGGGCAGACCACGGTCCCGATAATCCCACCAGCCCTTTAGGGCGTCGGTGGTGAATTAACAGCTAAGCTCGAATCATATGAAAAATACTCAAAATGGAGAACTAGATTTGCGGAATTTCAAAAATTCACTGAGTGTCTCACCGATCACATTCAAACTCAACCATACACAGACTCACGCATGCCCAGACGCACTCGTATTAGACTCACTCGCGTTCAAGCTCGCCCGCACTCAAGCTCAATCGCACTCAGACGAACTAGAACTCACATTCCGATCAACTCTCCTTCCGTTTCGCCAGACCCAATCACACTCGGACTTACGCGCGGTCAGACTCACTCACAATCGCACGCACTCCACCTCATATTCACGCATAA